CCAAATTGAGGGAAATCTTAGTGAATGAAATAAGTAAGGCCACTTAATTCCATATTAAAAGATATGGTTCTTGGATCTAAATGCACCTTCCTGGTATGGCAGTGGCCATAATGATCCAGGGAACTGGTGATAGCCTCACACATCTCTTGCCATTTGCCAATATCACAATGACAAGACTCATGCTGACCATTCCTAACAACTTTCTAGGCAAAACTATAAACCCAAAACCCCCCAACCCTAACTATGCCGACTTCCCATATGCTCACATGAAGCCTCATGCTAATCTCCATTCTCTGCATGCATCTGCTCATTGCCTCCATAAGTTCCTATAACATTCAAACAAAAAATCATTTTTCCACCCTTACTAGTGACTCCAAGTCAACCATGCCAGCATTTCACTTTCAGCAACGAGTAAAGAAAGTAAGATTTGGTTTTGATTTAAAATTTTAGTCCTTTTGTATTGGTCACTAGTAACTGGAATCGGTGAAAAACGTAAGTGATGAAGGTGTGAGTCTACTCGAGACTGGTTTCTAACGTTTTAGTTTCAAAGTCTCCTGCCTAGTGATCAATGCACTGCTCCTGTTACATTCTGGTTCTCTAGACACCTCACTCAACTAAAACTCATGACATTGAAGTAAATCAATGGGAATTTTCATGAAAGAATATCTGATCTGGAATATAAGAAACTGAATACATTTCTCCCCACCCTCCTTCAATCTATTCAATATCCCCACAATTCCTTATTCTTCAATGATCACAAACAATACAGACTTCAATTGTCAGCCATAGACACTATATGACAATTCTTAATTGTTTTTGGCCTTGGGTGCAATGATTCATGCTCCTGACAGTCCCATTGTCTATTGTCCCTGTGTCCCACTCGCATCCCATACAATTTGGAAGTTTGGCTAAATGGTAGTACGCAGCTGATGCTAATTAGAAAGACTAAGTGCTTTGCCCTAGGCCTACATTATTTTCGTTCCAAGATAACAAAAAAACTACGTTCAAGCTGAACGTTTCGGTGCTCTCATCTCAAAAGGAAACGTGTACGACGACTCAATGACGTTACCTTCAACGTTAACCGTTTAATAAGCTATGTTGGTCAGGACCAACGTAATTTAGGACTCCTCATCCTCGGTCCGCGACGAAGACTAACCGAGTAAATATCCCTCAAGAGCCACGGTTGTGAACATAAGCAACTATAGATCAATTTACCTTATGATAGTTTGAAGGATGATTATACTATACCCCTGAGGTTAAGGTTAAACGTGCACCCCCTTGGGTACAAGAGTAGCTTAGACAAGGCCATAAGAGAGGAAATAAATAACTTAAAATATGAGCATTGAAATCTACTTAGGCCAATGAACTTTACCCCGAAATCTTCTGCAAGCAGCAATCTTACGACGTTGGGATTGCGTTTCCATCGGCACTTGGACATGGCTGCCAATATGGCGCCTGGGATGGCCAGTAGAGCCCTCATCGGGGCAATACTCGTCCCGCGTTTTTAAAACTTCCGTCCTCATAGACGGCCTTCAGAATGAACAATTGCCTCCTCCCCATGAAAAATGTATTCGGCATCCACTCGTTTTCACTGTCGTGGTCGTCTGAACACTGAAGTTGGAGTGAGCCCGTGCCGCGGAGGCCACCCCGAAACGGAGAGGAGGCCCCAACGGCGCTGCCACTCAGCGACTTCCGGGATTCTGCCCATGCTTCCCAATTTCCCGCTACATGCGATGCGGTGTGGATTCTTTGCCAATTTACGTTTGTAGCTTGTAGACTGTCGTGGACGGAATCAGGCGTCCCAGACGGCACTCGCAGAATTAATTACCGTAAGGAGTGCGAGAGCCCCACCCATTGTTCAGATGCCAAGCAATGCGGTCCTCAAACGGCACAGCAAAATGATGAGCTGGGAGTCGCCCCCAAGAACTAAAGCAAATTTTGAAAAGCAGTGACCACTGCCGGGCCGTCCTGAACGTCTCCTCTCAGTCGGGTCCCTCCCAAGATCGATCCGGCTTCACATTCACTGACGGCGCACACGGCCTTACCCGATGATCGAACACATTTCTTTCAAGCCCTTTTCGCATGCTTGGATGGTTTGGTGACGTGGGTGCCGTCTCAACTCGCCGAGCACACGTGGTACATAATAGATTTTGTTTTCTCTCGTTCCCAGAAAGGTGTTGCTAGGCTGTTGCGCCATTCGTCGAGTTCATTCCCACGTCGCTGAAATGTTTTTACAACTCTCGTCATGTCTGAGTTTTTTTTTTAACCGTCTGGGACCTGCAGATTAGCTAATACTAAATAATGCAATCTTGATCTGATAGTTTACCTCGATCATGAATATGTCCCCCATCATAATTTTCATTAATAATTGCTAAAGAGCTTGAGAAGTCTGGGCCAGGCTGCACATAAGGAACAATTAGAGGTGCAAAGAAAAATACTTGCATTTCTTTCTTTTTTTCCCCCTAAGGAGTGGACTGCATCTTTCCTCCAAGTCTGTCATTACCGTCAATGAGCCAATAGTTGGCATGTCAGTCTACTTTTCTTCGCGTGTAGTATTAGGTTAAAGTTCTAAAAGTGCCTCTAAGAAACCACCAAGTGGGGTGTAAGACTATCCAGGAAAAATAAAACCAAAAAATGTATGCTCATGAAATCAGCAATTGGCCCCCAGGTGATACTACATCTCATTAACCTGTATGATTCTCCAAACATTTCCACCATAATAAAAGCTGAACAAAGATGAAATCAGGGGAAGGAGATCCTCCATCATCTTTGAGGAAGGAAAATACCAGTTTTGTACCCCAGATGAAAAGTTAATGAGTGTTTCCTTCTGCTTCCTTCGGGATTTTAAATGAATTTTCCCCTCTCAAGTGATCTCATAGAACAGTGAATTTCTTTCTCGAGTCTCGCTCAAGATTCCCGTTCAGGAACAGCCATGAATTCCTTCAAATGGCATCTTGCTCATGAGGAAAAAAATGACACAAATGGAAGTTGTGAAAACTAAGTTCTTGATCTGGAACTTTTGGTTGTCACACTAGAAACGAAAGAAGTTAAAAGGACACAGAGAGGAGCATATCGGACATGCTCACACGCACACTTTCGGTTGATGTATGTCGACATGCAAGCACACACAATGGTATTCCTCACCAGGCAGCCAGAGGAGGAAAAGAACTGGCAGTGAATGGCATCTCTTGGGTAGGGAAGCCTCCACGATTTTACCCATGCTGGAAGATCGGATGTGAACACAATTCCCTTTTGATATTGGGGGAGGATAGGTTGTTCAATTTCACAATTCATGGCCACAATGTCAGAAAACAAAAACAAATGCTTTCTTAAAGGCTCGCCGTTTGCCTGATCCTTCATGCAAAAAAAATATTTAAAAAATAAGTCAATCAGAAAAGAATTTCATAGCTGCATTGCTGGGAAGCCCTCAGGCATCCCACATTTTTATACTACTAAAGCCCACTTGATCATACATAATACAACTCTGAAAAAATTCAAAATGTATGAAAAAAGTCTGCAAAATTATCTCAACCGGTGGCAGAAAAATTGGAAAATACAGGATAGTTCATAATTCTGTAAGATAGGAAATGGTTAAGTCTGATGAACCGAGAGCCATAGAGAAAGGGTGATCAAGCTGGATACGTTCATCATCTCACAAGTTCCACACATGAATATATCGTCAGCTTCTAAAAAAAAAATCCCTGATTTTTCCTTTCCAGGCAGTGATACAAAATATAAATAACATCTGGGAACAAGTACCAGAAAAAATCTACATAAGGGACATTATTGAAGGTGAGACACGTGCTTCAAAAATGCACAGGCGCACAGTTGCAGGCATTCCCTGCCTCAGACTTTGAGGCAGGATTGCATCAGAAAATTTGTACATTTGGAGGATAGGGACAGATGGAGGAGAATTGCACTCTGCTAGATGTCAGCCTCTCTCATGAAACTGGCATGCTCGAGCTTTGCCCTACATGTGGAAAGAAAAATTATTCCTATTCAACCCATGAAGCATTTTCAGTAATGAAACCAGAATATTGACATTTATGAATCATTACAACCCACCATTGTGTCGTTCGAGGTGAGGTGGTGGCAAAGTTCCATTTGATGTTGTCGATGACGGTAAAGGAGCCGGTGACATAGTCTCGCTCCCATTCTCCTCAGGTGTTGCCATCTGCTGATAACGATCCCAGTCCTTGATCCCTTTAGGCCAGTGCGGTTTACTACCGCGATCAAACACCCCCGAAGACACGTGTGCCCGCTTCTTCTTGAAATGTTGATCATAGAAAGTCTCATCTATGCCATTGCGGACAGGAACTTGGGATTTGGACTCTGCATCGTCCCCGGTTCGCATCTTTTTGAACTTGAGCGCCATCATTTGGTCGTGGCTTGGAGAACGCTCCAAAGCATTTCCTGCACCATCTGGAAGCCGAGGACCGTGTGGTGATCTCGACATATCGTGATGATATGCTGGAGATCCGTTCTTGCTGCCCCCATTCTCCTCGTCTCGACTGCCTCGGGGAGAGGAACTATCGTTGCTTCGTCGCCGCTTCTTCTCCATGTCAACAACCTCAGCAAAATGCACCAGGCAGTTGAACCTCGATGTCACCTGGTCCTCCCAAGCTCGGCTTGAGGGGGAATCTGCCGATTTCCTCTGCTGGAGAAACCCATCTGCACAAAAACAAAAAACCAAGTCAACCACTGATCAGTGAATGAGACATTTGCATGCACAGTCTTACTAGGGATGAGATTGTATCCCATCAGAATTGATATGTTAAATAGAAGGAAGGCAGTAGCAAAGCTAGTCTCAATGCCACTTGAACCTCATTATGCACTGCTTTCCCTTTTTGATTCAATACTATTCCTTTTAAAATTTTCCAAAGCTTATTTGCCAATACAGTATTTGATCCCAGAGCTGTGTCTAAGCAAGCAAATAGAATCATATCAGAGCCATTCTTTGCAGGTATTTTCAGCAACTCAACTCAACTTGTTTCTAGTCTCCACAGGGATTCTGCTGCAATGATAGCTCCCATTGTCATCCTGATTCTTAGTCTACTTACAAATAAGGAAAACAAGGTCCTTCAGGAATGGCCATCTTCACATTTTTCTGTCAGTCATCTAGTGTAAGTCAACCAAAGGCATTCTGGCAAAAATGCTGTTATGATACTGGAATAAAAAGCTATATTCTGGTTTTCCATGCTGTCAGAACCAGGAGGCTCAGGGGACAACCATGTTTATGGATTTCACTTGTCTGGCCCTAATCAAGTTGAGTTTTCTGTTAGGCCAGATGATTCTTCCATGCCCAGCAATGTTTATTAAAGGAAAGGGAGTATGAAAGAACAATTTGAGGTACTTCCTGTGTACCGTTCTGAGTCAAAATAGAGCTCTTACATGGTTCAATCCTTTCATAGCAAAAACTCCAAGTTTTTTTTTTTTAATTAGGGATAGCCAACAATCCCAAACAATAGCCAGCATCACCCATGACTTTGGCTTCACTTCGCAATGAAAAGCTGAATTTCCATTGTTTTGAAGAGTCAACATTTCACCTTTGGATACTACTTGCACAATGGAATTCACATATGATCTGCTGAAACTTTACCTTTTCCTTTGCTTCGTAACTTTGTCCCACTTTTCCCAGTGATTTGGATAAGAAGAGGTGCAGTGTGGAGAGAAAAAGTTGAAGAAAGGGGTATTGTAAATTTTAAGTTCTTCCCTCTCTGAACTTAGTGTTGAACTAGTCACTTTATTGACCACAAAATTGTTCTATCATGACCTGGTTTAACCCAGCCTTTGTTCCTCCAAGGTACTTATACTGGTGCCCTTTGTAGAATTTGTTCTCATTAACTCTTTCACTGGCAATAAAAAATTGAAAAGCCCTACCCTGCACTGGCAGTGAAATTTATCCACATTTTATGAAAAGCACTTACTTGCAGTTTTAATTCTAGTTTGGCATTACAAAAAAATAAAATAAATTGTGTATACCTTGGAGATAGGCTGTATCTGGCTCAGGAAATTTCAATCTACAATCCCACATAACCAGTGAAATAAACTTTTGGCTGCATGTGGACTGGTTGGGAATCAGCTGATCTACAAATGTCACTACTGTCATTGTTGACTTCAACAGCTCTCACTACTTTCTTCAAAATCTGCATCATCCACATCATCATCCCTGTCTGTCACTGTCCAACACTAGCTCACAGACAATAGTCAGTACTCAGATGAACTTTCCTCTTCAATGCCACTTATGGNGCCCTTTGTAGAATTTGTTCTCATTAACTCTTTCACTGGCAATAAAAAATTGAAAAGCCCTACCCTACACTGGCAGTGAAATTTATCCACATTTTATGAAAAGCACTTACTTGCAGTTTTCATTCTAGTTTGGCATTACAAAAAATTAAAATAAATTGTGTATACCTTGGAGATAGGCTGTATCTGGCTCAGGAAATTTCAATCTAAAATCCCACATAACCAGTGAAATAAACTTTTGGCTGCATGTGGACTGGTTGGGAATCAGCTGATCTACAAGTGTCACTACTGTCATTGTTGACTTCAGCAGCTCTCACTACTTTCTTCAAAATCTGCATCATCCACATCATCATCCCTGTCTGTCACTGTCCAACACTAGCTCACAGACAATAGTCAGTACTCAGATGAACTTTCCTCTTCAATGCCACTTATGGCACTATAGCTCTAGATATAGATTATGAAACGTTTTACATAGACTGCAGGTATGGCAGGGTCCTTGAAACCATTAAGTTTGTGCTTTAAGTGCTAGAAGTTGACCTGTTCCCTGACAGATGGCAGAGGCTGTAGTATCTGTTCGTATGTGCCTGAGTGACACCCACACCAAAATGTGGACAAAAATTCCAGAGCATCTTAAGATGCCCATGCCAGTCAAAGGGTTAAGTAATAGCAGGTGTGACCTACCACATTCCCATTTCATGAATAGGCTCACCTACTCAGGATTAAAGAGAAATTTTAAACCAATACTTTACAGGGTTGGCCAATTTCCCATACCTTATCAAGTGCAAATTAGGAGTATCAGCAACATGGTCTGGGACAGAGGTTTAAAAATAAATCTAAACTCATAACTACATAACTTTAAAGTTCATAAGTTTAAAGCTTTGCCGATGAGAAGCATTTGCCTCAAAAGCCATAACACCATTGAAGTGAGTGCCTTCTTCCTAGTACTGAAACAACAGCTTGGTACTGATTTGCCTTAGACATGTTAGAAAATTGAGAAGTGAATTAATTTTTTAACAGAATGGTAACCCAACATAAGAGGCAATGTCAATTTCTATATTTTCAGTCAACAGACAAAAGATGGGGTTTGCAGTAGCTCTCCAGGTCACTTGAATACCCTCACCTATTCTTTCAAAGGGGTCTGGTGAAACACATAGCATGCACATGGATACCAACCAGCATTAGAAATTTAAGTCATTGATCAACCCAGTTCCCACAGAACTGCTGCTCCAAGTGCATAGCTTTGTCTTGGATAGACCAAGTCATCAATTGCTTGTACAATGCCTCATCTACTTGCTGCTCTTCCACATTAATTAATAAACTCCCATCCAATTCCCACATTGTGTAAGCTTTTTCAACATAGATCATGATCCCCCAAGAAACCTAAAACTCACACAGATAAGCACCCATTTTTTCCCCACTTCCCTGCTTTCAAGAAGGTTGTGATTATCTCTACATGACTTGGGCTTCTTGTAGGTGGTGTTTCTGAAGTGAAATAAATGTTCTATTTTGCAGAGGGGTGACCTTGCACCTTTGAAGAAATGCATGTTCAACAGGGGAAAGATCCCATTATTGGGGTCTTTCCACTAAAGTTCCAAGCAACAATGCTTCTGTCGACCTATCAGAATTTTATTTTAACGTTGATCACATTGGCAAGACAGGGTTTGCTTACATCAAACATTCATCAAGGCAAATTAAATCATTTTAACCTCTGTTGCAGAATTCACTTATCACATTGCAATCATGTATATATCTTTCAAAAAATTTCATTTGAAACAAAAATGAAAACATTAGTCAAGCAGATTCCATTGGAGTGAATTTTCCACGCCCAATCAACCTATTTCCTCCTGAGCATGCTTTAGTTTACTCTTTCACACAAAATATCAAGGAAATAGCGCTCAATGAAGCAGTCACATTACTGAAAATACAATATGCTGCATGTGAACAATTCCACAACAATTCTGCATTTATTAAGACCTACCCCCATGTCTTCCAATGTGAGACATTCTTGGGCAACAACATAGACCATGAACAAATCTTTCCCTGCATGAAACAGTGAAACACTTATAAAATTGTTCATCTCTGATTGCAACAGAATATAGAAAGTTTGCACGATTTGATAACTATGGTGGAGAAATGACTATAACCTTGCATTTTTGATTTTGCATGCTTGCTCATTTGCACCACCGCAAAAATTCTGCACTTTTGTTGTCAGCATAACAATTAAAAAATTATTTCAGGGATGTCTTCAGTGATATTTTTGTTGAGAAAGACATCATTGGTTCCAAGGATGGGATCATGAGGTCGAGAAGGTTGAATACAGTGCTTGTTGGTTTCGCTGGTTTCCAAATCATGACTTTCCACTGATACCTCTGTCGCTCTGTCCCCCTGTGGTCGCAAAAAAGCAGCAGGGAAATTGGAGGCAAACATATCATACAAGCTGTTGCCTACACCTGCTATTTTTGGGCATTAAAAGATGAAGTGAGGCCACTTACCTGTTTTGTCATTAGTATCAGAGGAATGTGGGAGATCAGAGTCGGTGCCAGGAGTGATGGGCGGAGAATGCTCCAGAGTCAAAGGCGAAGGGGGAGGCTGGACTGAAAGCAGCTCCATTGCAGACCGTTTTCCTGAGACTGGTGCAGTTGGGGGGCGCATGGAATCATTAACCTGGATCACACCATTCTTGGCTGACAAGTCGTGAACCACTGGCTTCACACTGTCGTGGAGGAATGCAGCCAGACCTTCAATGGGAGCTCGGGATGCTTGTACCGTGGAACCAATCACTGATTGTGAGTGGTAGGTCTTCATGAGTAGATTTGCCCCTAAGGCTGATGAGACAGGAATCCCTCCTTCAAACATGGAAGAGACACGTTCTTCCATGCCACGCTGTTGGTCCGACACAGGCAGTCCCACGTGTGATGAAGGTGGCAACACAGGGCTTCCATCACCTTCGGCACTACTTGGTCTTGAGATCGGCGAATACAAGTTTGCTGGCTGTGCTCCTTCCTTTTTCACATCACAGTTGAGTTTGATGACTGAAGGAGTGGGGTTTTCAGTTTTGAGGGGAAGCGGAGATGGATACGACGGCTGTCGTCCTTCCTGATTGTAAGTCATGTCCACAGCCATGTCAATGAGGCTCTGAGAAGATATCTCCAGAGTCCGTTCTACCTCTCCACGCACTAAATCTCCAATTGTATGATGGGATGTAAACCCTTCCTTCTCTTGCATATGTCTCTTGAGGGCCAGCTTTGCTGGAGATACCTGAGTGTAATCTGGGGACTGGTAGCGACATTTTGGATCAGGTGCAGGAGCTTTGGCTGGTGGAGCCCGAAACTGCAATCCAGGTGACACGGACACTGGAGGACCATCATGAAGGTGGTGCTCTATAAGGCTCTTGATGTGGTCATCATAACGATAGGACACTCGTGGCACTTCCACACCACGAGACGGAACTCTCTGGAGATCGACCTCTGCCTTCTTCACCGGTGATGTGAGTCTCCGGTTGGCTTCGAGCTGTCGTCCTTGTTGGATGATCTTCTGAGCCAGGATGTCTGGATTATCTTCCTGAATCCTCTCCATCTTGGGAATGTGCGGATAATCCTGCTTGCGGGGACGGGGCTCACGTGTGCGCCGCCTCGACCCACCACTTGGTGGGGCACTTTGAGTAGCCATTATTGGCGAATTTACAACAGCACCAGGCGAGTGTGATACAAGATCTGTCTCTGAGTGTGACATATGGTGGTGATTGGGTATCACGGGAAGAACAGGATACACTTTCTGGGACATAGCTGTATAATCTCGACGGTGATCTTGAATGTAGCCGTTCATGTCCAAGCGCACTCCATTCATGTGATAGTTGGCCTTGATATACCGCTCATGCTCGTGCAGTCTCTGCTTGAGGCCATTAACCTCTTGCTCCTCTTTACGAATCTGTTCAGAAAAGATTAAGACAGGAGAATGAAAATATACAATCCAATGAAGTATTTTCCAGAGGAGCATGAAAGGAAAAAACTAAAACCTCTGCATGAAGGGCCTGTTCCTGATCTAATATTCGTTCCCTTTCCTTCTGTTCCACAACTGGGATCTTCAGCATGTCTTCAACAGAGTTTAGGCCGTCATGGAGTCCACCGATGCAGTATTTCAACTCCCGCACCACCTCCAGTCCAGCAGCCGTTAATGCTCTCTGGCATTCTTCTTCTTCTCGTTTCAGTTTCTCCTGAATTGCCTACAAATGGAAGATCATCACTCAATTTTCAAGGATTTCAAGCGATCATGGGCTACCTGAACAGAAACAGATTAAGACAGCCAACCTTTTCCTTGGTGATGTGCTGGCAAACATCCCTAACAAAGTCCTGGCTGCTCAGGCTATGATGCATACGAATCATCTTTTTGCGCAGCTTGATCAGGAATCGATCAAGATCTTGAGCAAATTCTATTGGAGGAGAGGGCAGCTCATCCCTTTCCAATTCGGACTCTTCATTGTACTCTGAAAAAACCAATGAGGCAGGTGGAGCGACATAATCTGACAGCTTGCTATCTATACATCCCTGAGCTGGAGGAGGGCGTTCAATGGGTCCTGAAAATCCAGAGGAAAACTCAAATCATACATCAGAATCGGGGGTAAAAATAAAAAGTAAAGAATGATACTCCATACCATCACCAGCAGTACTGAGCACAGTCTGGGAATGAAGGATATCTAGCCCATTGATGCGTGGTAGCTTACGCGGGCGGCCACACCGACCCGTCCTGCCCTTCCCACGTTTCTTGCCTTTCGTCGATGTCACGCTCTCAACCGCTTTAATCTCCTGTAACTTTGCCTTGGCCGATTGAAGCACAGCAGCTGGGTCCTCATGAACAGGGCTCATCACAGAAATAGAGTTCCGCTGCAGCACTTTCTTTGACCTACGCATGGTCTGCTGCTTCTTTGATTTCTGCACACCTATAGTCAGGCAATAATATACATTACATTTAAAATTTTGGTCAGAGTTTGGAACAATGCATGCATATCTGAATAATAACGAGTGCAAGCTCTTAATATAAGGGAGTGTTCTACCCCCTCAACTGCCCCTATGTAGATTCTACCAGGCATAAATAAATGAACATCTGATGAGAAATTTCTCAATACAAACCAAAAGATAACACTCGGTCAATATTAAGGAATTTTAGCTCATTTAATGCCATGGATGGCTATGGGGACTTTTAGAAAAAAAATCATTACATTTGCTAACATCAAGTTAAATTGATCTAGTTAAACTATATGTTGCCCTATCAGGGTCAACAAATGATTTTCTCCATAGTATGATCACTTCCTTTGAGGTTCCAGGCACTGTGAATTGGCGTAAAATTGAACAAACTGGTCTCAGTATTGAAGTTACTTACATACAGCATCCCAAAACTTTGGCTCAAACATCACCCCGGCAGAAACCTTGAACGATATTCACCGTGTAACTTCTGTCCCTAATTTAGCCCTCAGAAGGGATAGACATTTAATAATAGATATCTTCCTCCAACAAAACAGAGCTCATGAATAGTCACCGACGAATAAATTAATTATTACGTAACACTTAAAACCAGTATAGGGATAGATACAGCTAACGAACCACCAGACTGTGAAAACTCTACCATTGTCGAATCTCATAGTTCACGTTGCCGGCAAGTAGCAGAGTGAGAAGACACAAACCTCCTTCCGACTGCGGCTCTTCCTCGCTCGGGCTGCTCGACCTCTTCTGGCAGAGGGAACTCCACGCCCGACGCGTCGTGGGGCCCAGCGAACTCTCGTCCTGGTTCTCCATGTCGTCGTTCACCGACAACACACTCACGCTGCTGTTCTTGTCTTCGTCTTCTTCCTTGCGATTGTTGGAATTGTCCGATACCTCCAGGCTGAGTTGGCGCACGTGTCGACGCCGTCGGTTCCCGTTACTGGATTCCTCGTCTTGATTCCGAACCTGAAAAACGCAGAGCGCTCAATGAAAACAGCTAAGAATAAGCCAGACAAATGAATAAAGGGAGACACTCACCCTTAACTTCATGTCTTGGAAATACCTCTCCAGCTGCAAAGAAAACAAAATAAAACAAGTGCTATTAAATATCAACCAGGTCACTATAATTTAATTCTGCAGGTCTCGCATGACCGTTCGAACTAGAACACTAATGTCAAAAGTACTCTCACCTTAGTTCTGTCCAGAACGTGATAGAAATATGGGACCGGGTTGGACGTCCAGGACACAGACTCGCTCTCTGCAGCCATTTCCGTCACCTCCATGATGGTTCCAATATCTGTCGAAATTTCAAAAACAAAATAAATACAAGACTCAAATTCAAATCCCCAAAATCATCGCCGCCCCTCTCCACTCACCCGTCAGGTTTCTGTCGGTGATGCGGAACGTGAGCGAACAGAACGCTTTCGACGAGATGATCTTGGTCCCGTCCTTGAGATCAGCAAAGATTTCCTTGAGTTTGTGGTCGAGCTCGGGCTCGAAGGCAAAATTGTTGACTAAGATCACAGACGCAGAGAGTATCATCTCTCGGAACTTGGGATCCAAAAAGTCCCCCTTGACGAGACTGAACTCTCCATACTTCTTCCCGTACCAAGCCATCCACTTCCGGAACGACGTCTCCATTTTCTAAATTAAAAACCCGCTTTCAGAAACCACACTCTTTACCTTCTGCACAGAATCTGATGGGAACAAAAATTCATCGAAGGCTGGTAAAATCTCGGCAAGGAGCTTAAGTTTCTGTTTGACCTCCGTTATAGTCCTTGCAATAGGGGGAAATACCAATTCAAGGGTGGAGCAGGTCTTTATTTGTCTGCCTCTTTTTGTTACACAGAAGACTCTGGTTAGACAGCTTTCCGTGTCTTTGAAAAGAGGGATCTTCCCCAATTTCTCCTTCCTCAAGTAGGAATTAAAAAAAAAAATTCTATAAAAGACCCTACTAAGCAAAACAAAAAAAAACTCACATGAGCATATCTGTTTGGCACGTCAGCAATCTCGATGCCACAGGAGATCTTGGCCTGGGAAGCCCCAGCCACATGGACCACCACGTTCCCAATCCCTGAGCCAAGGTCGATGAAGACGTCGTCCTCGGTCATATTCACCAGGTGCAGGATCTGCTCCACCCGCTCGTATGTCGTCTCCCCGTACACCTGCAGCGCGGACGAATCCTCAAATTTCAGTCGTATCCCATACCATACCAAAAATCACTCAAGACCAGCGAATGACCCGACCAGAACCTAATTTATTCAGCAAGATCCACGTGAAAAAAAAACCTCACCTCGCTGGAGAAGGGCTCATAGTGCTTATTGAGTCGCTCCGGCTCGGTGACGCTTTCCGAATAGACCTGGTGAATGATGTGACGAAGTAAAGCCCTCGACGCACGCTTGTTCAGTCTTTGCTGCGGCTTGGCCGTCCCTTTCTCCTGCATCGAATCAATCAGATCGAATCAGAGGTGGGAGGGGCAAAAATTCATCGAAGGATGGTAAAAACTCGGCAAGGAGCTTAAGTTTCTGTTTGACCTCCGTTATAGTCCTTGCAATAGGGGGAAATACCAATTCAAGGGTGGAGCAGGTCTTTATTTGTCTGCCTCTTTTCGTTTCACAGAAGACCCTGGTTAGGCAGCTTTCTGTGTCTTTGAAAAGAGGAGTCTTTCCCAATTTCCTGTTCCTTGTGCGAGAATATAAAAAAAGGCCAGATGGAATTCCTTAAGCCAGATAGAGGAATCACTATCATCACCTATGCTTGGTCGCGGATCATTCAGGACAAAATGAAAATGAATCGAAGTGTTAACCGTCAGCGAACTGATAAATCCATGCAAGCCAAACATAGCTCCTGCACGGTAACACAAACAGAGAGAAAAAAAAAAACCAGCATAAAGCCACTTATCGAATGTGCACCCGAAAAATAGCTATTCCGAGAACCACTTCGGCCCCGTGACAATCCATCTGGACGCACCTAGGCCCACCCCCACAACACCCTCATCAATGATGCAAACAAACCCACAACATCAATCCCCAAAACCACTCCCCGCGAGCTAAAAAAAAGCGCAGCGGGGGGGGGGAATAACCTGCTCTCCCCCAAGCTGACCGGAATGAGTTCAACGGGAGAGATCGATGGGCCAGGGGAGGAGGGAAGCATCCATCGATTTCCGCTTCGAAAGGGGGATATTCCGGACACGTGCGAGGGTGCATGCGGAAGGAAAGAGAGAGGGGTGGGAGGGGAGGTGAAACAAAACAGAGATGAGTGAGTGAGGACTATTTTTACCCTAACAGGAAGAGAGAGGATGTGAGTGCTGTTTTAAGTGGGGTGGACTGGCCGCGTGCCAACGGAGGTCGGGTGGAAGCGAGCTTCGAACGAAAACTGGGTTATTATTTAGTGCGGTGCGCTCGGAGGTGTACGGACCGTGAACCGTAGAGGTCTCTGCCTTGCCTCGCCTTCGGGTGTCTTCGTGTACGGTCGAGCGAGGAGAAAAGAAAAAGGGAACAAAAAAATGCCGTGGTGGTCAGGGGCCATTCGCCTCTCTCCCGTTATGCCCTTGGCAAACTACATTATATAGACACGGGCCTCGGAATGCAAGGGAGGGGGGAAGCGAGAGAGGAACGAGAAAAGAGGGTGAGAGAGAGGGGGAAGGAAGAAAAAAATGCCGAGAGAGAAAGGTCGGGTCGGGACGCCTCTATTGCGAAACACCAGTGAATTCTTCGTTTCCTTCTTCCCATTCTCTCCACGTGTTCCCCTGGGACAGAGACCGAGATCTCGCGCCCCGGCCCAAGGACATAAAAAAAAACCTTCCTCCGACGTGGGCGACAAGGAAAAAGTGTAGACCAGGATACGGAAAGAAGAGGAAAGGGTGTGTATATATATAGCCGTATATGGGAAGGCGAGCTGGGGGTGGGAACGAGGTGAAAATCGATGCATCGATTTTCGTCACAGAGCCCTACCCTGGCTTGCCCTCTGTCCCCCTTCCCCCTATCACCTCCCTCACGCTACCTTCCGCCCGAGCGGAAAAAAGACGATAAAAAGGCACGGAACCTTCCCCAGACCCAGACAATTCCAACACATGAAACATATATTTCTTCTTTTTTTTACCACGAAAAACACACTTATAAGCAATTTAAAAAAAAAAGGCTGCAAAACGTATTTTAAATTACCGTCTAATATTTCCCATCTCATCACCCACGAAACAATAATTCTGAACAGCCAATCAAGCTCAGCCACGACAACAGGAGGAAATCCCTCACCAGTTGGAGCAGGGACTCCAGCGCCTTGTTGTAGCGATCGCACATAGCCTTCACGCTCTCATACCTGCAAGGAAAAACGGAAGCATCCCGAAAATTAGAAAAAAACCTGCTCGAAAACCTCACCATCTCTCCGCATGCAACACAACGGAAGGGGAATTGTTCATGCGCTTCGCTTTCATTTATCATCATCTATCTCAGTTACTCGAGACTCACTCCCACCCTCGGGCAAGAACAGCGTTCCCACAAAAACCCGAATTAATTCCCCCGACCGTTCCGGGCTCATCATACAAAACACCCCTTAAATCGAATCCTTGTGTGGGAACAAAGAAAAAAAAAGTGAAAATAAATGTATCTCACTCATGAGCATCGTAGTCACGTAGAATCTTGTCCTGGACGATGCTGGGGAGACCCAAGTCCGCAAAATCCTCGAACACGAACCTGAATAGACAAAAACCATTTTAAAATTCAATGCCACGAGTAAACGAATTCCGTGACCAAGGTCGCCGAGACCTAAATATAAACTCTTTCGTTACTCCGTCCTGCATCATTCAACAAATTTAATATTGATGACTCTAACGGTGACGCAACCTCTCGTTTTTACTTCCTCACCCCTCTCCTCGCCCACCTAACGATCCAATCCTGCTTTACCTTCACCGATATCGACGTTGCAAATAAGAGTCATTTACGATCCTGGCACAAGCCAGACGATTGTTCTCTCTTTCTCATGCCACTCAGTGAACTCAGAGAGAAGCAGACAGATTTAACGGGGAATAAATCTAGCTTAACACATGCGAGAAATTTACAAATACTTAATGCCGGAAGATAGGCGGAAAAATCAGGATTTCCCCAAATTAACAAGTCGATACAAACAAAACCACCAGACCGTGAGCTCAAATGAAACGTGCTCACGAGGCATCATATTTGGGCCCGACCAACAAAATCCCCTCGATACGGAGTGACATGCACCAGATCCCTTCGACTTTAATCTTATCTCTTGATGAACTCCCCACGAAAATAAGATTATCTCCCTCAAACAATTCCCACAGGGGCCCCATTACGAAACCAGACTGATTTAAGTTTAAACGATCTGGTGCATGTCACCCACGGCATAACACACGAAGACCGTGACCGAATCAAGCTCCGCTAACCTTGGTTACGCCACCAAAAACCTGCAACCCACCCCCCAACACGAGACATGCTTTCCCGAGCTGGAAATGAACCGAACCCACCGCTCCCGACATCCACCGACTCAAAACCGAAAAGACGCGCCGAACCATGCATCCCTCCATTCCGCAGCAGCAAGTCTTCCCCTCCCTCCACAGCCCCAGGGCACATTCGCCCGTCTCCTTCCACGATATATGACACTCGCACATCCGGCTATCATCGATTTGTCTCACACACGAGGGTGGAGAGTCGGATGACCAAAACGGGCATCATTTGCGGCTCGAGGCAGGCGGCCTCTTTATCGAGCAGTTCTTCGGTTGCCGACATAACAGTTTAACCCTTACACGCTCGGCGCGCCGATCCATCGGCTCCGTCTAAATCATGCTCTTTTAGTTACATAAATGGCTCAAAATGCTTCCCTAAACACAGGTGCTAACTGCAAAGGTACGTATGCATTGTTTTACATAATGTGATGTAGTTCCGGACCAGAGAGTGTTTCAGGCCAGGTACTTGGAAAATAGGCTGAGTGCGAAAGGGTTCACAGCAGCTTTCGTTCTCCTGGCCTCGGATCGACCCGGACCTTCCATATTTTCACGAAAGACGACATAAACCGCCATCTTTCTTCGTGCCGAATGGAATTCGTTGTTGATCAAATATGAAGCGGCTAGGAGAGTTTTCCAGCGTTACTGACTTAACAAAATCGTCCAAAACGAGGTTCACGAAGCAAGAGTTGAATTATCAAAACGGAGTGGTGCAGGAGAAACGAAAACCCATCTCGTGTCAGGTGATCCATGTTTATTGGATCCTTTACTTAGTCGAAGTTTAGAATCCATACAATGCAGGCATATTACATATTACGTTGGAGGGAATTTTTAGGAAACATTTTAATACCACTTTTGCCCCAATAACTCTGGAACTGCCCTATTCGACATCCGTTTAATAGACACATTTTGGGTAACCGAATCCCTCATACGACCCTAAGCTTCAGCATTTTTTTTATTATATCGCCCTCACAAGGCCTCCATCAGAGAGAATGGACAGAATAGAAAACATGGATTCCGATAAGAGACAACGGACTCGGAATTGAAGCAAACCATCCTCGACCGAATTCCCCTTTCCTCAACCTTGCAACGCCCGACCCGCCTGTCATCGTTTCAACAGTGCACACCCCGATGCGGGCCGCTTAGAAGACGAACAAAAAATATTCCATCTGGGTCGAGCGAAGGTTACGACGGGGTAACCTTGCCAAGAGTTTTTTTTTTCTAGCTCCCCCCTCCCCTCCCTTCTTGGCACGACGAGGCTGTTTGACTTGGCAGCCATTGTGGATCGCATTCACCGAGGTCAAAGTTCGCTCGACGAAAGACAGACGGAACAGGTCTCCGTACGGACGATTATTTATCGTTTTTCCAGGAAAAAAAACCGGTAAGTCCGGTGACGTCACCCCTCGTCCCTCCAACAGGTTCCACGTCCGATGACGGGAAGCAACCCGATAAGAGTCCCGATAACGAGGGGGAAAACGGAACGACGGGAACTTTCCCCCTCGCCAGCACGTACCGCCTGCCACGTGGTCTGAAAAACCTCTCGAGACATTCACCTCCGATTCCCCTAAGGACATTCTTTTTTTCCCCCTCTTATTTTTATTTTGCTGTCCTTGGCATTGCCGACTCTCTTCCTTCTTGGCACATGCCTCTAGTTACACACAGTGTGGGGTGGTCTTTTGTCCACCCTTGTTCTTGACAGAATGAGGCGTATTCAAGAATGATGTTACTGACGCAACCTAGCAATAGAGGTAAAATTAAAGAGCTGCCATGCTGAAAACCCGCAGCAGGTTTTTTTTTCGCTCGACGAATGGCAGTGCTGGCAGCAAAAAATGGCCAGGCCATTTAAACCGGATGGAGATCTCTGCCTCTCCTCCACCCAGAACGAGAGAGAGGAAAAACGGAACAGGAGAAAAATGCCCCCGAGGCCAATTACGTCACAATGGACCGCAAGATCGGAAACGCAACGGACACTCATAATGATTCCGCTCTCATTCCAGCTCTTCGCCCCTTTTTCCAAAAAAAGGAAGAGAAACTTAATAGACGTAGAAACGCAGAAAGTTTGCATGTGTCTCATTCATCAGACAAGGAAAGAGTCAAATGGCGGATAAAAACGGAAAAAATAAAACCGCAACAGAATGAGTCTGTGGACTCGGCCCGAGACAAACATGCCGATTCCAAAAGGCATCCAGGTGGGGGGAGAACGGTGGCGTGGGAACCAACACAAGCCCTCATTTTTTGCCAAGCAGACATGTCGGAGGCCTGCGCTTGATCCATCGGTGTGGGGTAGAGGGATGCGGTCTACGTATCGAAAGAACATCGAGTGACGTCACGGGGGGAGACGACCTCGTGGCAGGCCTGACACATACCCCTGCACTCAGAAAGGGAGGAGGGGGAAAAAAAAAGCGTCCTCCCTTCTTGCTTGGAGGCAGGAGAGAGAAAAAAAACGAACGGACGCTGCCTCGGCTGCGCTCACTTGCCTCCCTTGCCTTGCACAGCATCGAAAGCCCAGCCTGGTCGAGGCCAGCTGGCTTCCTGCCAATGTCTTTTTCTTTTCCCGCGTTCTCGTTCGAGGTCCTCCACAGTCCCTCCCCCACACCGAGGCGAGATAGTGAGAGAAAATAGATATATGGGGCTCGGCACTCACTTGATGGTTTCCACGATCTCCTGGGTCTTGCCTTCCCTCTTCTCCTGCAACAGATGGGAACGGGGAGCGTTGTTTTAACAAGGGGGGGTACAGTGAATGGAATTTAACCAGACATGAAAGAGAGACATCTGTCCAAAATCTTGACTCTGCAAACCTTGCAACATGGGAATAGGTCAATCGACTCGACTTGTTCGATTGCTCCCCGTTATGCTGCTTATCGAGTTGCGATCAAAACGAGTTCACTTGAGTCCCGCCGATATTCATTTGATAAGATTTATGGCATGAACGGGGCGATAAAGCAAAGCTCAGCGTACGTCGGACATCTAGTACTCGACTGAATAAATATCGAGACTAGACGTTGTGTTGGCGTTGACCTCTGGCTGGAAATGCCTTCAAGGCGTAGGAAAAGGTAGAGAATACAGCCTGGTTATTAGGGGCTCAATGCCTGCCGCTTGGGCCCATAAATGAATAACTAACTAGCAGTTCGGGTGATGAATTTATCTAGTCATGAATTCTGAAGGCCTAACTTGGCGTGATGCATTCGTCGACTCCTGTATCCTTATCCACCTGTTCGAGGGCTTAGGCTAGGAGGGAGAGGATGCTGGTGCAATGCCCACGCCAAGGCCTAGCGTTGCCCTACTCATGCATACAGCGGATGCTCTCTCGTGACGAGGCTCAAGACTCGTGAAACTTTAAACATCGGGCCTAACGTTAGCATCTGGGCACACGATTCCATGCGAGAACCGCGACTTTCTAAACTAGGGTATTGCGCCGCTAACCTTTGTTTTGGGCCATGTGATGACGATAGCCTTCTCCCCCACGGGACTCCTCAGGGTGAACGAATGCTCCAAGTCTTCCTCAGGCATTTTAGACACAATCACTTCTTTCTTGCCACCTTCCCACAACCCCACAGCATGCCTCGAGCACAGAGCCTGCTAACTTCAGGCATCACATCATCGAAGGGCTTCCTGCTTCGACTGGGCACCAACGACGGCTCGCTCACGCGCTACCGCCATCTTTCCTCTGTCTAGTATTGAGCGGAACTGTTCACGTTGCTCATGCGCAGACACGCCTTCTCAAGTTGGCCTCCTTTGTGAAAAGACATTTGAAGTTCTCAATTTGCCTTTGCCTTGCTCTGAGTTGAGAAAGTCTAGCTCTAATAGCCGTAAAAGGGCTTTATGAAGAATAATTTAAAATTACTTCATTTAATAAGCGTAATGCGGAGGAACATCGAGCAACACTGTTGATGCAATGTCTCCTCACAGTTACCCGAGGACGACGCAGATGGGGACGAATGCCCGTTAGTTTTTTCCACAATATGACCGGCGAGAACGAGAACTACAATGACGAGTACGAAGAGGCTATTCTGCTGGCTGCTGAAAACGGGGACGTGGATAGACTTCGAGTTTTGATCGCTGAGAATGGGTCTCTCGTCAACATCAGGGATACTGATGGATATTCACCTCTGCATCGGGCATGTTACAGTGATAAACCTGAAGCTGTTAAGGTCAGCTATTATGTGACACAAAATCAGGGAACGGTTTTCTTAGAGGAGAGAGAGAAAGAAGTAGGGCAGCCTTTTTTTTATAGTGGGAAGCAGTTATTGTCAATAGATATCCCTATCTACAGGATGCAGATATCGGTAGATATCTGTCCAGCATGATGTAAAACTATCATGTTAGGAGTTAGAATAGAGATATATTCAAATGGAACCTTTTAATTCTATTTTGGATGTAGAAGAGACTTCATTCAACCTTCTTCCTTGAAATAGGGACAGTGAATCCTGTTGCTTCCCAAAAGAAAACATTTCAGAGGGTAGTTGATATGCCACTTCACATCTGTACTTTCATGTGGCATTGCGTAACTGTGAATGTAGGTTATTGAAATACATTGTTGGATTCACTAGTATAGTAGACAGAGAATTTTGAGATTGAAACAGTGGTTCCTTAATTCCAGTATATGTTTCTCTTGTTTGTATTATCACCAATGCCAGACATTGTGATCAACTGAAGTCTGACTGGCATCCAAATTGAATTAATGGGAAGTGGTGGGGAACCTGTCTGTGAGGAAGATGCTTTCTCCTAGTGATGAGAGAGCAATGAAGGTTTTGGTGATGAGAAATAGAGTTTGGAGTTTTCATTGATTACTGCCTTTTTTTTTATCAGTTGCTTAATGCTATCACCTACTGTAATGTAATTCTCAATAAAGTCATGGTCATTATCTGAATCAAAAATATCTAAAATCCTTGCCATCATTCAAAAGATATTTTAACTCATAATCAAGAAATCTATAATTATCCAAAAATGTCTTAAGTCAATCTGAAGTCACAGTATGACAACTGTAGCTTATGAAGTAACCAACACACTTTTCACACTACACTTTTGTCTTCCTCTTGCATTTTTTATTTTTTTGGACTTTGACATTGCTGATGTCTCATGACAGTCATCAACAAGAGGCAAATGCTGTGTACACCTTGCTCTCTCTGAAGTATTCAATGATGCTTTTAGTATTTCCTCAGGGTCCAATTGCATTGTCATCCTCTGCACTGGTGCTCAGAATCCCTGGTTCTTCTTCTGGATCTGGCAAAAGTTGCTTTGCTAGCTGCTTGAACAGGATGAAGTTTGTTGTGTGCACTCCTTACATGTACTGTCTCATTGGTATTCAATCCAGGAGTTTGATGCAGAGGGGTCAAAGAAATGGGTTTTAATGGCAATGTGATTTGAATGGTATGATTATATAAAACTAGTGGACAAAATTAAGGTAACACCATTTTCATCAATATTTTAATTACAATAGTAAGTTAGAAAGTGAAAATACATTACTATATGTACTTTTACATGCAAATTCAGAATATCCAATCAAAATTGATCTATGTGCATTGCAACATGCAAATCAGTGAAGCCTATAAAAGGACAGCAGCCATTGTCTTCTTCTAAGCATGTCTGTTGGAACATGTAATAAAATTAATAAGGGCAATTTGTTGGCGCTCGAGGGAGTACAGAGGAGGGCCACAAGAATGATTAAGGAGGTGTGAACATGTGGAATGCATTAGATGACAAAGTAGTGGCTGCCCCTTCTGTGACTATCTTTAAGAAGAAACTGGATGCTTTCATGGACAGGCAAAAAGGTGGGGGGGCATTGTTGACATTAGGTTCTAGACAGTAAGTGACTAGGATAGTCAAAAAACAAAACAAAACACGAAAATATTTAGCTTTAAGAGGATTTGGCCCCCCTAAAATTAAGGAACGCTCGACCTTGACACGTGATATCGAAATGGGTGAAATCACCTCTTGATATCACTATTTTTAATCTTGAATCTTGAAAAAAAAAGAATTCTTTGGACCACATGGATCAGAGTGGATCAAATTTCTATGAACAATATAGCCTTTATTACATCGACGAGCATTTGGGCCCCCTTGCATACTGAATAAGCTAGGACTTGGCTTATTGGGAGCAATTCTATATGCCACCTCTTGAAATATATGTCTGTCAGATTAATTTTGAGCAACCCTGAGTCCTGTCTTGTCAGTGCATTTTCTACATGGTGGGACAAAGTAATGTATCCAATTTCAAAATGAAATTATAGGATAACCATAAAAGATAGGATTGAATAATAAAATGCATTAAGCAAGCAAGAGTAAACATTTTTTACTAAGTAATCCTTTTTTTCTGTTGTTGGTTCAAAATGTTTCGATTAAATTTACAACAAAGAATCTTTATCATTGAGGTGCATATCAAAACTCAATAAGTAATAGTGACACAGTGTGCTTTCAGAAAGGAATTTCCAGGATGTGAGATGCCAACAACTACAACAACCTGATCTAAATCCAACTTTAGAGGAGTGAACTTCCATGAATTGTGCAATGCAACTGGAAGGGGTTCAGAAATTTCCTTGGGAAGATAATCTGAAATGTGGAGGTTAATTATTCCAAAATTGCAAGATCTTCCTCTGTTAATTTTTTAATAGCCTGTTAAAAACCACAGCCATGTTCCACTCGGTAACAAATTTCCATAATCTTGGCATGAGAAAAAATTCTATTTTCTTGCAACATTGGGGAGTGGACTGGAATTGGCAATAAAGGCCAAGAAGTGTTCCTATGCAGTACCACTTGCTTATCAGTCTAAAGAAAAGTAATAATAAAATGTCACTAAAATATTTTGTTTTTTCTCCTGGAAGATTGTAAGTTTTGATAATTTCATTCAGGATTATTCTCCTTGATCCAGCTTCTGTTGGAGAATGGAGCATCAGTGAATGGAGCAACTGTTGATGGCTGGACTCCTCTCCACTCAGCATCTCGATGGAATGCCTTCCGGTGTCTCTCCTTACTTCTCATGCAACCAGGAATTGATGTCAATGCGCACAGTAAAAGTGGTAAGGCATGCAATGAAAGAAATGCCCTTTTAAGTATTGTTTCCTTTCAGTGAGGATATCTCAAGCTTGCCATCATTTTTGAATAGGTCAAACACCGCTGCATATTGCTTCTTCGACTCGGAATGGTCGAGAGTCCATTCATCTCCTCCTGAACCATTCATCAATCTTCCCAGATGTGCAAAACTCTGTAGGAGAGACTCCTCAAGAGTTGGCAGAGAGACTGGGTCCTTGGGCTCATCTCTTTGAGCTCATTCATCCATCACTGAACAGTATATAATCAATTCTGCTCCATCTGGAATCATATGCTTCTCTCACTGCCATGATAACAATGTGGGATATTTACCAGCATTGCTTTTGGGTTCATGATTTGCTCAATTGATATGGGTGATCAATTTTTGATTGTTGAAGATGACATGTGATGCATTTAAAAAAATTATTTTGTACAGAATCTTGTCAAAATCTATGATGGTATCCAAATATATGACTTCGCCATGAAGATGGCCATGGCTGGACCATGGCTCTATTTCCTGAAAGATTTCAATACCTTTTGGTTTTGCCCACTCTGAGAACTTTTAGGATATGTAATACTATAGATGCCCTGTTGTGTCAATGCAGGTAAAGTAATGCAGTGTATCCACTAAATATATCCCACTAAACCATATCCTACCAATCCAAGCCAACAATGGCTGCATGCTATGTTGTTTTTCCTCACTTAAGTTTTCTTCATGAAGAAAACTTTAAAATCAACTAGATGAAGTAGTTGGTCTGTTTACACAAAAATGGGTATCAATACACATAGGTTGAATGCCATCATGCTACAGATTTAGGCCCAAATGCACAAACCTAATTTAGGTGAGATGAAGGGGCATTTAACCCTTTAATGTATTTTTTTTTGGCAAAAAAAACCTGGTGGGTTTCACTCACATCCTAGAACATGGGTCAAGTGCAAAAAAATTTTTTAAATCAAATTTTTAAGCAGAAGGCCTGAAAATGTTATAGATCATTTGAACACAAAAGAAAATGTCAAAATTCGGATGAGCCTGGACCCTGGATTAGCGTAAAGTTGAAGAAAATTAAATTTAAAATGTCAATCTTTCATACGATGAAGCCAGATTGGTTTTGATTTGCTTGCCACCAAGAGTGTATGGCACCTAGCAACCACATAGTTGCTAGGTATAAGGGCTGGACTGTTGCACATCTGCTATGAACAGGTTTACCTCAGGAATTTGCTACCTGCACATTCTAAAAATGTTTTATTTGGCATGTAGCATATCTGCTACATCATGCATTAAAGGGTTAAGCTAAAGAGCTTTTTTCCCCCCCATAGTATTTCATGGGATTCTTGAAGAACCATTAACTTAAGGAGGTTTCAGCATTTGGGCCTAAAACTCCAACAGAAATGAATGAAGATGTCAAAGGGTGGTACACCTGTGATAGCTTCATAAATTTTTGTTTGAGTTTAAGTTTGTGAGATTGAGGGATGAGCACTCCTGCCTGAGATGCTGCCACTCTCCTGATTTTGGTTCACAGGTTCATGGGACTGATCCAATTGATCCAGTTATTTGTAGTTTATTCCATTTCATTTCCTTCCTTTGAAGAACTTTAGACTAGGTGTGAGACAGCCATAAAAGATTACATATTCATGTAAGTTTCTACAGTTAATCACTGACAAGGGTGCCTAGTCCTGGTATAGTACAGCTTTTGGTAATAGTACTACATTTCCAATCTCCTCAAAATTCAGGTCTGGTTGCTGCACCATTGATGCTGTACTGAAATTGAACTCTCAGCGATACACAATTTTCATTTGAAAAAATTACAAAGCATAAAAGATCATGTGAATGGGGAGAACAACAACTGGTTTCTTTATTATCTTTTGAGTATCAAACATTATTCTTAACTTCAGCCAAGAATGTGAGTTTGTTGCCTTGCACATGATATGTGAGCAGATATATCATTCTCCCCACTCATACCTCAGACATGGCATGAGTTTGACTAGTAGGTGTATTGAGTCTCCTCTCCACTACTGCTTGGATAAGGTGTGTCATTGATGGATGATGAAGCTGAATGACCACCAGTGGCCTTCTTATAGAGATTCGAATCCTTCCCAGTATACTCACCTACAAATCATGTCAGATAAAAAAAATTACAAATTAACAGCTGATGGTTACATATATCTGGGAGATCCAAAATTTTCCTTGTTTGCCCCAAGATGAGAAAAGAACAAAGGTAGATCAAGCTTACCGTGAGATTGCTCCTCAAGTTTGCGATTCAGAAATTCTGAGAAGTCATTGATGTAATCCTTGGATTTTTTTCCAGCAGCAGGAGAGTAGGGTTTTTCAGGAACAGGTGCTGAAAATCCAGAAGCCTCTGAAGTATGCACCCGCACATGCACAGAACCAGGAAAGCCCTGGATCCTGTGCCTGTATTCTGTCACAGCTTCATGCATCTCAGGTTCCTGGCTGATGCCAGCCCTCCTTTCCACAGCTTCACCTCTGGAGTTACAGTGTCTCCATAATAAAAAACCATCCTGATAGGACTAATGCCAAACATGGACCTGATTTGGTGTATGACCTTACCTATCAGAAGTTTGTTGGAAGAAGGAAGCAGCTTGAAAGGAGCTGTCCTCTGAGCCTTCAGCTGTTTCATATACTGACAGAGAGAATGTAGTATCACTAGACTCCAACAAATCCTGCTGATGAGGGAGTTTGAATCAAATCAAGGTTCATGTCAAATGTAGGATGATAGAGAGAAACAAGAAAAATTCCTATACTGGGGAAGGGGAAGGTGCAGACATCCTGCTGAAGTACTTGGATGGGAGGATACTCCCATCAGGCAATCGAGATGATGCTGAGGGCTGTGAAGGAGTGGTAGCATCATAGCTAAGACTAGATGAAGAAATGCATGGACTAAGAGATGGGTTCCCAGCAAAAAACAAGGGGTCACTGGGATTTCTGAGAGAGGATGGAGCCTCCAACACCTCTTGGAGGGAATGCTATGAAAAAAAAGAAGAAATATGCTACTCTAGGCAAAAACAATTTAGTGGCTTGACCTAAAGTATTGAGAAGAAAACATTTCTACCTGCTCTGTCTTCTGCTCTAATTCAAGGAGATCTTGTTTGAACTGTGCATCTTGGATTACGCTATCCTTGGATGAAGGTGATGTTGTATAAGGATTTAGCTGCTCTTCCCCTTTCCCCTCAGATATTGTGCTTTCTTCATCCACTATTTCGAGATCTGGGAGATGAACCTTTGATGCAGCTTCAATTCCACCATGGAAACGTGATGCAGCATGTTCTGAAAAACAACCAATTTAATGTATGAAACAAGCAAGGGCATTGTCAATGTGCACATAGTTAATGGCAAAGCACTAAGCACATTCAGCTACACAAGAAGGGACCATGCGACAATGCATACCAAACATCTGCAAGAAGGCCTCATTCATATCGTCCATGCAAAGGGCTTTTTCCCTAGGGCTGGTCTGGGCATCTGCAAGCACCCGTCGCAGTGCTCATTAGAAGAAGACAGAAGCGTGCAGTCAGAAGCAAAAGCAAACACAGAGCAATGCACAATGGACTCACATATCTCTTTCCTATGTGTCACAAGCAAGGATAATACAGGAGCCATAAACTTCTACCCTTCATAAGTAATTGTTAAGGAATTATATACCCATCTGAACACAATAATCCTTAGTATGCATAATAACTTCACTAGATTATCTTGGAAAGAATTAAGCTCTGTGAAGGCATTAGAAATTCAGATTTCTAGTGGGAGACAGCAAGAAAATATTACTCAATTGAAAACAAAAGAGCTTACCAATTTTTTCTTTGGTGATATTTGGAGGAGAACTTGGACTCTTGGTTGAGACTTGATGCAACCTCAAACGAAGCTCTCCAAAGATCTCATTCAGCTTTGATGCAATGAGTGATGCACTTGCATCCCACGACAGTCCAAAGCAGACTTCCTTCATCATCCTGCCTTCCCCCTTCACAGAATCCACCAGAGACAAAGCAGACTGGCATTTGGGACCCTTGTGCAGGGAAGCGAGATCAGAGTAGAAGTGGAAGAGGAGCTTCCTCATCTCAGCATTCTCCTGCCTCAGACCCAAGTAGCGATTCTCCAGCTTCTCTCGTACATGCTGCCTCAACTCCTGCTCGTTCCTGCCAGAACAACAAACGGGGAAATTGGATTCCTCGTCTGAGCTAGCATCAGGATCATGAGGACAGGAGTCTCTTAATTCAACTACTAAAAAACTTTTTCCAGAACAAAGTAGTCTTACAAGCACCCCATTAAAATGAACATGCTCAATAGGAGCTGAAAACCTGAAATATTCTGAGCTATTGATAATCTCTTGTTTGAATTTTATAGTTTCCCTTCCCCTATATATTTTATACCTTCCCTCATCTAGATATTAACTGGGCAAAGTGAGGTGAATCCCTCTTTTTGGTCCCAAATACACTTGTCAGACTCAGTTATACAAGGAGAAATTAGTAATTCTGAGAATTTCAAAAAATTGCCTCATAAGGTTCTCATATTAATGTCTTCTTATCAGCTTCAGGCCTGTCCTTGGACAAGAAGGTAGCATGGAGTTCATGGGTTTAACTGAATTCAATCCATCCAAAAAGTTAATTGGGAATCTGATGTGACTACTTACCTTAACACTTGCAATTTCCTCAAAATTTAACAACACAGGGAAAAAAAAGGAGAAAACTTCAGGAATTGTTCTACAAATGAAACTGATCTTGAAAAATGAACAATTTCAGAGTAGCCTTGAAAAAAAAAATCCCTATAGCATAAGACTCCATCCTATGCCATTAATTCCATAATGTTACTTATTTGAACAATAGGTTAGAAATGTGAAGAGGGATATGAAGAAGAGAGGTAAATGCAGAGTGCACAAAGTGTGAGTCTGTGATCTAGGGTTAAAAAAAATGTGGCATTAAACTCTATAAACAGAAAAAGTTTCTCTAATCCTTGTGTAAAGAAAGGATATTGCTGAAAGACAAAAATATGTTTTCAAAGCAAACACAAGAGCTTGTTCATTTTACTGTTGCTCATTTCTCACTCTGAACATGATCACTTGGAACACCTGCTTCTCCCTGATGTGAGGAAATGAAGACAATTCTTCCCCCAACAGCTGTTTGTTGCAGCTGTCAACTCTGAGCTGATTTTCCCCAGTTTGTTGAAAGCTGAAACACCACCTAACTTCACTTCAGAAAATACTATACTTCATTATTACTGGTAGAATAATTGTGTACATCAGTGCCTTAAATAAGAGCTATTTGCATACATCAATGATTTAGATAAGAGCTCAACACTAAGGTAAATTACTTAACCACTCATGGAAGGGTGCAAAGACAAAAGGGAACAAAATACAAGATGAGTTAAATTATGAAAACAACTTTACAGCAGAAAATGAATGTAGCACCCCATGACATTCATCATTAGTTTTACTTCAAAGCCATTCTCTGAGAGATGGGGCAGGATAGAGCTGAAGAACATTTATATCCAATAAATGAGTAAGCACCAGTTTCCTATAATAAAAAAGTCATGAATGATTTCTAAGACTACAGACAGAGTTAAGCTGCTTTGGGGCTAGTGATGAAATTACTTCAGTGGCTGTGAACTTTGTGTATGTGTCTGGGAATTACTTCTGGAGAGGTTAGCTTTTAATGAAATCTCAGCTTTCTTTTTTTGTCAGTTTGGAGTGTTATGACATTTATTTCATGGAGTCCTAAGAGTATTCAATTTGTTTTTGAAGCACTAAACCTATTATGGTTTTTTCCTAATCTCACACTAACTGCATAAATGTTGAGCACTTAGTTCAACAATGCAATGATACCATTGAGTCAGATGCCAAATACATATCCAGAAACAACATCGGAGGAGAGAAACTGGAACATGAAAAGGAACCATACTGATTTATCAAGATAAGGAAGAAATCTCATGGAACGCATGTAGGGCAAGGAAGCAAACGCCAAACCCCTCTCAGGGAAGATTTTCGTACAACAAGAAACTCTTTTTTCAGCTGGAGTCCAACTTATCACTGTGTCATGACATGTTTTTTCAGAAGTTCAGAGAACTCCTAAGATGAAAAGTCGTCACCTCTCAGAAGATGATGGAGTCTTCCACTGAGGACGACGATATTCATTTCGAGAAAGGGGGTTTAAAAGCTGCATGCTGCCTTTGTTTATTTGTGGCTTATGGCACAACAACTCCCCACGATGACGATCGATTTTGTCCTTTTCCAAGCTCAGCTTCTTCACTCGATGCTGTATTTGCTTCTCCTGGTGCTCAAACAGTGCCTTCCTCTTCCTGAACTATAATAAGAAATTGCAAATGACCCAAAAGAAATAGAAAAAAAAAGGTTGCAATGGTGAATCTGAAAAGCTCTTAAAGGGAAAACTGACATCTTCCCTCTCATGTTTCAAGCACTTTTGGCACTGTTTAAGGAGCTCCTCTTTTTGTCTCAGCTGCTCCTTGCAAGCCACTAGCTTCCGTTCTAGGGCATCAACTTCCTGCAACATCTGCCGGTTTTGTTCCTGTTTATGGAAAGAGATCAAATTTCAGATAAAATTCTATTTTGCAATAGGCATTGAGAGAATTATGTCAAATTGGTGACAGAATGGAATTTCAGAACTTACCTGACTATCACGCAGCTGATATGCAATTCTATGGTGCTTGTCCTCGAGTTCTCCATAAGTCTTTTGGGCACTGGCAAACCTCATCAAGACTTCCCATGAAGAGTGCACAAGAGAGAGCCAATCCACTTGAACACTGCCATCACCGGTATAAAAGCTTCCGAGACCAAGTTTGGAATATCCCTACAAAGAATGACATATCGACTGAAAGCCTAATGGGCTAAGCCTAGCTCATGGTCATGAGTCACAACAAAGTTGTGGGTTGATAACAGGCCAATATGGTTGGTTCCACAAATATGAGTTAAGTGAGGCATAAAACATCCAAATCCTGTAAAAAAAATTCTGCACCAGAAGCATTCCAATTAGTGTATAGTTTTTAATATAGGTGTGGCAACTCTTATGTATTCCCTCTTAGAGCATCTTTCCTGAAAGGGACTCTTGGGATAAGCAAGATCCAGAAGAGTCCCACATAAAAGGAGCTTATTGTGTTTCTGTGGTGTCAAATCTCTCATGGCTAAACAAAATAATTATGGCATTTTTTGTACCTTGTGTGCATTGTTTGCTAGTATTTCGCCCAACACACAAAGGGTTGATTAGGTTAAAAATAGGAAAAGTTCATAGTGATCACATAACACCAATCACACCCCCATCCAAGTTAGCCTTTCACCTAGCACACTGAAGTTAGGTTTTTCATCATCGATCATGTTTTATCAATTGTTGGATAATGGGCTCTCTGTTTTGTAATTTTTTCTTCCTATTTTTTTATTATCCTATCCTGAGCTGCTCCTTTCCATTTGGCTCCTTCAAAGTTTCACTTTCCATCATTCCATCTCTTTCCCCCAACATGATTGTCAATGTTCTGCTCCCATACATACTGAAAGCCAGAAGAGTTACCAGGGTCAAGTTGGTATCACTTAAATGCTCACCTCAAACAGAAATTATAGTATTTGTTTCAGATTAATGGGGAAAATGGCTGGGACAAAGACCACAAGACAATAAACAGTTTTTATAAAGGGTGAGTAGCAAAAAAAACTAAGCTAATCAGTGAAATGAGTGCAGGAGTGACAAAAATTATAGACTTCTCCCTTTAGATCCATTGATCTAAAGGGATCGTATAGATTAGCTTACTCTTCAAGATGGCATTAATCTTTTTAGAATGCAATCCATTCAGTTCTCACTCTGCTCTTGCTTTAATCAACTAAGTCATTAATCATCTTGAAAAGTTGTCAGTAGTAAACAAACAAGGTTTGGTTCATTTGTTTCATATACACTCTGTTTATTGGGGTCACATGAAAAAGATTGGGTTGCATGAAGATAAGAAATTTTTGCTCTGAATGATGAAGATATCAATCTGCCCAGAATACAATTGATCTTGATAAATAATAAAAAACCTGCTTGGACCTAATATTGAAGTGGCCTGATCCAGTAGGACATTCAGTTTATACTACTAAAAAATCAGGACAAAATATAAGTGGATGAAACAACTGCACCAAATGGATGCATAATATCTAGCCATGGATGACAGATAACACCATGATGAGGTTCATGCTCTTATATCTAATGCTCCAGGGGTACAAGGGAGTGCTAGAAAAGAAAAATAAGACAAATAGAGCCATTAAAGACCTGTCCATATCAGTATGAGATTGGCTTTGTTTACAAGTAGTGTTATTCCTTATATGGTTGTGGACTGGGACATCCTGATTCCTCTGGCCGGATTTTTTCTTTCTTATGACTCTCAACATATATTTATCACTACTAATCTCCTAGCAGCCCATTTTCTGCCTCCACAGGGATGCTTCTTTGGTTAGTCCAGTACTTTGCTCAAATTTTTCAATCTTGGTGTACTTGCAGAAAACAAGCCCTCATTAAGAGAATATGAGGGATGGGAAGCATTTGGGAAGTAGACAATGTTCCTTGCATGGATCACATGATCATAGCCACAAGATTTTCACATGGCTGCAGGAAACGCATGCAACTGCACAAAATACTACAGCCAAACTAAGGGTTGATGTGTGGGCATATGATCATGCGCTGCTAGCCATAGCTTATTCCATTGTAGGCCTAGAGCGAACGCTTGCTCTAACGCGCACTCTTCGCGACGATGAGCCTATTTTAGGCCTAACGTTGGAATACCTGGGATAAAGACTGCAGCTCGGCCTCAAATCTCTGTTGCTCCCCAAATTCCAAGTCTCCGCTCAAGGCCTGCATTCCCTCGGATTCCGGAGGACAGGAAACAAAGAATTTACGCAGCGTATCTTCAATCCTTCCACTTAACTGCAATGAGATTAAGTTTCCGATCCAAAGGTGCCCAATCTAAGCCTGTGGAACTTCGATATCGTATGACTGAAATGTGAAAAGGACCAAATATATGCATAGACCCGCTCACCAGTCCACGAGAGACGCACACACGCCTTCGGGAGAGCGAGATTCAGCCCAAGCGTGAGCGACGTTCACCCTGGCCATGGTCTATTTATACCACGTGCCTGGCTGTGGCCTGCAGTGGTTGCAGGGTTGCCATAACGACAGTGAACGTCATTTCGCCACGTTTCCCAATCGGGGAACTTCTACAAGTTTACGAAGAAGCCGTTTTCATTTTCTCCATCGACAAAATGCACCCTTCCCCTACTCAAATGCCCCAAACCCATTCATCCTCAGACTACCAAAGTCTTCGCATCGTCCAGTTCGTGCATTCCTTCCAGAGGGCACCATCGCGTGTGTGGGGGGGACGACGCTACGAACGACTCCCCGTTTTTCTCATGCCGTCATCTCCTCTTACAGATGATGGGAACATTCTGCTCCTGCTTCGATCACGGCGCTAATAGTACACTAATTAATTCCAGGCGCGCCTGAAACCTCCATCATAACGAAGGCGCTCCCCGGAACAGAATTCGGGCACGAATTCCAATCGTGCCCGAAAACCGCATTGCGACTCCTGCGTTTTCATCATCGCCATGCAAGAAACCCAGGTGGGGAAATTTTTTCATCGCGAACGCGTTTCGATCCGTCTCCGGAACGCTTTTTGGTGTCGCCTTTCGAGGGATTCAGGTTTTTCTTGATTTTTCCCTTTGATTCGGGCCGTTCCGATAAGGATTTCTCTCTCGTTTAATGATGATGTCAACCCGAATTTTTTCAATGGAATAATCGAGGCTGGATTCCTCCATCTCGCGGAACTGCCGCGAAATTTCGTCGCGGCGAACTTTCCAAGCCGGCGACTTTGATCTTCGCAGCATCAAAGGTCAAAAAGGTCACAGGCTCATGAATCAAATTTAATAAATAATCATTCCTGGAACTCCTCAAGGCGAATGTCACTCACAAGGAATGCCACGTTTCAGTTTGTGTGAAATGATGAGATACGTTCATGATTCAACAAGATGCCATTTATTGCTAATTTTGAAATTACCTCGGCTAATTATCTGAATGGAGATGGAGACAAAAAACGTTTCCTTCTGGTTTTTCTACAAAGCAAAAAAAAAAAAAGTGCCAAAGGCCGGTTTTACATACAGGAAGAGAGAGAATCGGTGGGCCACAGAGCACACTCCCTCTTCTCACAAAAAAAAAAAAAAAAACAAAATTGACACACTATAGCATAGTAGAAAGCAGCATAGCATGTCGATATATCCCACATACAGACAGAAACAGCCGGAAGAAAGAAATCTAATCACAGATACGGAAGGTCCGTTCCGAGATGCATCCTAGATGCATTCCTGGATGCATCGGAAACAGCCACAAGCTGACACTTTGTTTTTTTTTCGGGACAGATACATATCCAACCTTTCCCCCACTGTATCACAAAAATCTTGGCCTGGCGGGGAAAGGAAACACAACTGAAGCCAAAAAAAAAGGAGAAAAAGCTGCAGAGATGTTCACCTTCTGCCGACCAGAACCCTGAGCTAAACCAAAAAAAAAAAAGTCGATACGTGAAGCGACGAATAAGGGAGCATGTCAGCAGTCCACAGTGCTATCACATGGGAACCTCCAAGACTTTTTTTTAATTTTTTCATATTTTTCCAAGTCTCCTCCGAATCGAGTTCTAATCCGCCTCCCGTCGCCATCAAGCGACCACGGGTTCCTTGAGCTCGTACTCGACCGCCTCCGCCTCGGGCTGCCCGTTCTGGTCCTTCACGGCCGCCTCCGACGTCGCCGTCCACGTCGCCGTCGACGTGAGCGTCCCCTGGCTCCCCCCCCCTCCCCCCCCGCTCCCCTTCCCGCTCGCGTCGCCCGGGTCCGGGAAGAGGGCGGAGGCGGGGAGGGACGTGGAGGTCGGGTACGGCGCTCGCTGCTCCCGCCGCGCCTTCCGCCGCGCCCGACGCTCCTCCAACACCAGTCGCAGCTGCTCCACCTTGTGACGGATCACCGCGTTCTCCAGCTCCATGTCTTCTCCGACTCCGACTGGATACCCAGAAAAGGAACGATCGTGAGATTTTCCAGTACCGAGACGAACACGTCGAAGTCGGTTTCGACGTACGACGTCCGATGGCTCCACCGAAGCGAAACGTAAATTCACTTCGGCGTAATTCATCCAATAAATATCGACAAGAAAAACAGATTAAAATCGACACAACAGCGTTTTGAAAACCGCATTCCACGAACCCCGAACGACTCCTTCCAGATCGAAAACCCACTCTCGACACGATAAAGCGCCAGAACACACTTTTCGATCCCAAGATCTCCCCCTTCGATGAAAAATTCATACCCCCCCCCCCCCCAACGTCAACATCATGAACCTCACCTTTACAGCTCTTCTCGACTGAGGTAGTGGGAAGGGGAGGCGGAGGAGTGGGCGGCCTCACGACCCCCATCGACGCCGGCGTCGCGGCCACCGTCGCCGCAGGCGTCGCCGCCGCCGTCGCCAGCGACGCCGCCGCCGCCGAACCCTGCTGCCTCCCCGGCGAATAATGCGGCGTCGCGCACAGGAGGTCGTTCAAGATGTGTATGATCGTCGAGATGTCCCTCCGGGGACGCCCCTGCTTGTCCTGCAACGCCGGATTCAACGTCCCTGCAGACAGAAAACCGTTACCCGATAAGTACATCCGTTAAGTGAACTTAGTATTCGTGCTGCCTCTCCCCGATCGACGCGGCCCCACACACGACCTCAACCGTCCCCCAACCGACCGCCAGTCGCCCCGATTTCGACCGGCCAAAAACGACTTCTCATCCGATGAGTTACATCGACGCACCCAGAAAAAAAAAAAAAATCTAGAGCGATGTTACGATATACCGACGACCGCTCCATCACACCAGTGCTTCGTATCCTTCAATGGGGAGACAAAGAGCGATAAGAACGAGGTAGGCATCACCCCCAGGTGAGCATGTATTCTAATGACCATCATAATGACCATCCTCTTTATATTCTACACCCGAGCCCGTTCATTAGGTGGGTAGGATTCATTTTTCACGCGAACACTTCATCACGGGTCCCATCTATTTAAAGACTGGAACTACTTCATACAGTCGGCTCATTGAGCAATGTTTTCCCCCCTTGACAGGCCCTACCCTTCGACCTCGACCTCGCTCCCAACGCAAAAAAGAGTTCCCCCTTATACGGCGACGCAACCGTGGATTCATTTCCTCGTCTCTGAATCCTAAAAAAAAAAACTCCCCTCTGGGCAGTTTTAGAATTTGGCTTCTAGGCGGAACGACACGGAGAAAGGCTGTCCACCGATCCTCATCACACGCTGTCACCTTTGTCTTCCACTTCTTTTGTTACCTAATCGCAACCGTGAGCGGCACCACAGGCCCCTCGCACACCGCGGACACAAACAATAACCCCGCGATCCCCCCCCCCCCCTAATCACTCATCGCTCCAATTTAAATATTATTTTAAACAGAATTCACTTTAAATGCCCAACCTGAGAAGGTGCCAGAATAGACACCCCGTCCGTGGTGCTGCATGCTCTCGATGATGGCGCCCTGCTTCCGTCGGCTGGAGCTCGACCCACCGACGCCGGCACCGAACCCAGTACTTGCACTCGACGACGTACTCCCGGCTCCGGACCCGGCGGAGGAAGTACCGGTACCGTGATGATGACTGGTTGCGAACCCGGGGGTGCTCGTGGAGCACCCCGTCGCGTGGTTCCCCGCACTCGAGATCCTCACCCCACCCGAATCGCTTCGATCCTGGAAACAAAGAAATTCCGAAATGAATACGTCTCGAATATGAAATGAAGGGATGATTAAAAACGTAGCACCACAAAATGCCTCAAGGCATTTACGTAATTACGATAATATCAATAAAATAATCAGAGAACCACACCTTCCGTAATTAAATGGTTCTCGAATGGTCCTGCCCTACATCGAGATTATATCCCTGGAATTTTTTTTTTATCACGTTCGAGGTCCTTTTTTATTCTCCTCGTGGTCATGACGATCTCGGTCATGACATAAGAGTCCCTATGCGTTCGAGGAAGAAAACCAGGATGTTCCAATCATGCCGGCCATTAATAACCGGCCGGGGTCAGGGGGTCTCGGCCGGAGCAATATACACACGGCCCTGTTCGCTTCACATAAAACTTCATTACAGGTGCCGTAATGACGGCATTCCTCCGCTCCTCCTGGAGGACTCGTCTGTCAACCTGATAACCTCGACGAGAAGGAAACCCTGAGAGCCCCTCGACACGGCAATTTGTCAGGTGATGAAGAGAGAAATGCCAGAAACTCTCCAATGTCGAGGAGGGGGGAGCTCAGAAACCGTGACAAAAACCCAAGAACGGATTTCGCAACGGCCGAGAGTCGTCGGGCCTTATCCAAGGGGGTACGAGCCCCCTTATTTATGCCCCCGAGCACGGCAGATATATCGGGAGATGTCATCTCTCGGTGTCGCGGCGGGGTTACGTCAACCCGGCCCGATCCCGACCCGCAACGAGGAGAGGGACCGGAACGCGTTTCGCTTTTTATTTTGGGATTCTGTGATGATGCATTTCACCTCGCGGAACGACGCGATGATTTACGCCGAGCACGCACGTCGAAGAATATCCTTTCGTACGTGCCATTCCACGTTTCCCCTCAATATTAGCCACCCATCTCCCCTTGCACGAGCCAAGACGAACCATCCATAGAGGTGTGCCTCCCTCCCTCCCCTCCCTCCACCCTCCCTCTCTCCCTCCACCCTCCCAGCCACCCCGCCCACACACACACAACATCTTCTCCCT